TAATCACAGGAGGAATTTAGTGAGATGTTTTGCAAAAAAAAAAAAAAAAATCTGAGATCAGCTCAAAAAGGCTAAGGTATTAAAGACATAATTTTAGAAACAACTTACTTAATAAGACTGTTTAAATAGTATTATCCACAAACTTGAATGTAGTCAATCATAAAGAACCATGCTTTTTAACTTATTTGGAATTGAAAAAACCAATTATGTCATAAAAACTTCATTAACGCATCCTATTTTCTGACTATGATATCGAATTATAGATAGGAAAGAATATATAGGACCCCAGTATTTGAAAAAAATTGCTTAATAAAATCACACTTTGAAGTTAACAGACTTTTAAAAAGTCACGAATTATGAAATATTAGGGCTACATACAAACAGACATAGCATGTGAAATGCTGCTAGACTACCAGTCAGATAAATATTTAAATCATCATTAGATTTACTGGGATACAAAATTTAAAAAATAAAATTGCATCATAATCACAAGAATATAGGAAAAAGGAAAAAATATCCAAGAGATGTAGAAAATGAAATTCAAGGAAAAGAGGCATTTAAGTAGAAACCAGACCAAAAGACACAAAGAAACTAATAGAGATATTTAAAAAAAAAAAAAAAAACACTGTGGATCCAATAGTAGGAAAACGTCAAGTCAGAATGATAAGACAGTCAACATGGAAAACTGCAGATGGTATGTATTAAAATATGTTAAAAGGATGTAGTCTGTAATATGGAGAATAGAGATGTGAGATATCAGAAAGTATTAGAAAAGCTTGTGATAATGTAAAAACTTAAATGAAATATCTTTACAAAAATACAATATAAGCTTGTTTATTACTAGAACACCAATAACTATGGAACACAATAGCTATAAAAATTCTAATAATAATAAAGAAACAAATAAAACATGTAAACAGACAGAGAAAAACATCTACTTTGTAGAACTATTCTTGAAACTACTAAAATAGGGGAAGTTAATTAGTACAAAATCAAATTTGTCAGCGAATTAAAACTCAGTCTTTACAAAGTTTGTTTTATTAAATAAATAGAAAGTTGGACCAACATTTAAAATTCTAATAGTAAGAAAGTAAACGGTGACATTGTGACTTAGCTCAGGTTGCTCATTTCTACCCTAAAAATCAACTCTGAAATATATATAGAATAAGAGTGAAGTAAGACTCTGAGAAACTCTCATAACCATTGTGGGAAACCCTTAGGAGATCTAAGGCTGTTTTGAACTGAAGTGTGTCAATGTTGATAGAGTCTTAGTGAGGTAATAGTTTGAGGAAAAAAATTGGATTATGGTATTGACTCCTTTTTCTCATTCTCTTGCTTTGAGCATGATCATTCTCTCCAGTTGCTAAATTGAAATAGCACAGATGGGGCCGGGCATGGAGGCTCACGCCTGTAATCCCAGCACTTTGGGAGGCCAAGGTGGGAGGATCACTCTGAGGTCAGGAGTTCGAGAACAGTCTGACCAACATGGAAAAACCCCGTCTACTCTTAAAAAAAAAAAAAAATTAGCCAGGGGTGGTGGCGCATGCCTGTAATCCCAGTTACTCGGGAGGCTGAGGCAGAATTGCTTGAACCTGGGAGACGGAGGTTGCGGTGAGCTGAGATCACGCCATTGCGCTCCAGCCTGGGCAACAAGAGCAAAACTCTTTCTTAATTAATTAATTAATTAATTATAAAAAAGAAATAGCACAGGTGGATCTAATGGATAGATGTTTAATTTTGAACCCTGAAAATATAAATAACAAAGCACTTCAACTATCTAAATAGTTTGACAGTCTTGGGTAAAAAATACAAACATATTTTAGACTACTTAAAACATCATAAAAATATAAAAATAAAAAGTCATAATGAATCAGATGTGACTAAAAACAATACTCAGACAATATAATACCTTTATTGAGGTATATTTTAAAACTAGAAAAAAAATAACTTATTCATTCAGCTGAATAAATGTGTCATAAATATATAATGCTTTTCAAATTTCAATAGTTTTTCATGCACATTCACACATGTACAAATACATATGTATGAATTGCACACAATACATATTTTTAGGTATATATACATAATTATTGAAAGTCATTTTATGCATTCTCATGCATAAAAATAAACATAGCATGAGAATGCTATCCAACAAAAACTCTTTAGAGATCATCTATGCAGAAGAAAGGGGGATACACTAGGTGATGATACTTCTTCAACTCTATTGATAATGTTTTATGGCTTAAGCTACATGGTGTCTTCGCAGGTGATGTTTTTATTGCATTGTGTATTTTTACTATCTTAAATATTTAGTCGTCATTTAAGGGCATCAGAATAAATGTGTCATAAGAGCATATTAAGTTTTGAAATAATTTGGTCTCATTTTCTACAGTGGGATTTTATTTTCTGTCTGAGATGCAGAGCATATCTGGTCAATCAGTCTTTTCAGTAGCCAAGCACATTTTATTATGCCTCAGAACTGGGAGAGAGAAGGCTCCTATTTGACTAATTTTGGGCCACTTATGCTACATATTTGGTTTAGTTTATATGGTACATCACTCATTATAACATAAATAACTAACTACTGACAATCCTGAGCATTTCAGTTCAGGACAGATGGCGTTAGGGTCAACAAATTTAACCAAAATAAACTATATAACCCTTTTGCTAGTAGTTATTAATGTGTTCTCATACACACTGTGGAATGATGTATGAGAGTTTCAGCCTTGCTTATATCAGTAAAAGATAATATGTGTACTCAAGAATATTGGATTATATCACACTGAATAATTTATTTTGGTAAACATTAATGTCCCTATCAAACTTAATTTCAAATATTTTACATTTTAATGATGGAAGCAATTAAGAAAGTAAATATATGCCATTCTATAAAAATGTATATCTTATTTTACTAATACAAACATCTGTATTTTAGTAGAGAATCAGATAAGTGATTTTTGTGGGTTATCATAATCTTTTCAGTAATCTTATGAAATATATGTTCTTATTTACATTTTATAGATGAAGAAACTGATTTGAAAAGAGCAAATTTATATTTTATATAAAACTTTGCCTGAGTTCACATAGATAGTAAATGTACAGGCAACAGCCATTTATTTTTTCACTCATTCTAATATAACATAGAAGACAGTATATAAATCATAAGTATGAATTTCAATAGATTTTCCCAAATTTGATTGAAACATTACAACTATCTTCTACATCAAAAAATAGAATTTGTCAAAAATGTCAGTCTCTTTATAACCCCTCAAAGTTATTATCTGCCCCCACTGCTAGAGGTTCATTTTCTTTATTTTTCTTATTAGGGATTAGTTTTTTTTCTTCTGTTATTACTATCTATATAAATAAAATCTTGCAATCACCTTATTTTGCATCTGTTTTCTGTTATTCAATACAGTGTCTATGATTCATTCATGTTGTATGTATCAGAAACTTATTAATCATCATTGTTGTACAATATTTTATTCTACAGATAAGATAGAATTTATTCGTAGTTTGTGACATGAGATTTTGTGCATGAATTTTGTCATACGTAAGTATGAATTTAATGCAGGCATATAACTAGGAGGGATGTAACTGTGTCATGTGGTATACTGTGATCAGTTTGATCAGTTTAGGTAAATAATCAAAAAATTGTTTTCCAAAATACTATCCTCCTACCCATTATGTAGGTTACTCTAGATCCTTGTCAAACCTCAGTGTTGAGTCCTTTCTTAGTCTTTCTGCTCCATGAATAGTGATATTTCTTTGTGTTTTTAATTTGCATTTCACTGATGACTAAAGAGATTGAGTGCCTTCTCAAATGTTTCATTTTTTGGCCATCAGAGCATTTTTATTTTTCTGATATGCCAGTTTAAGCTTTATTTTTGTTCTCTCTCTCTTTTTTTTTTTTTTTTTTTTTTTTGAGATGGAGTCATGCTCTGTCTCCCAGGCTGGAGTGCCATGTTGCAGTCTGGGCTCACTGCAAACTCCACCTCCTGGGTTCAAGCGATTCTCCTGCCTCAGCCTCCCGAGTACTTGGGATTACAGGCACATGCCACCACACCTGTATAATTTTTGTATTTTTAATAGAGATGGGATTTTGCCATGTTGGCCAAGCTGGTCTCAAACCCCTGACCTCGTGATGCACCCGCCTCAACCTCCCAAAGTGCTAGGATTATAGGCATGAGCCACCGCGCCAGGCCTGTTCTCTTTTTAAATGAGATTTTTAGACTTTCTGTTTAATTTGTAGTTTTTTATATATTTTGAATATTAGAGTTTAAATATATATAGTAGGAATTAAATGTACATGGTATTATATATATGTTATATAACATGTATTATATAAACATATATAGTAGATGTATAATGCATCTATATAATATAGTGTACATTATATATCATACTGAGTTTAATAGAAAAACACATTAAGCCTGTTTTAATAAATTTATTTAATAATTTATAATAAAATATGTATTGTGTTTATAAATTATGGATTATACATATGACGTCTGTGATTTGCTTTCTCACTGCCTTAATGGTGTCCTTTGATTAAGAAAAGTTTCTAATTCTTATAATGTCCAACTTATCAGTTGCTTCACTTACGATTAGAACAATTTGTAACCTCTTTACTCTTTGCTTATCCTAAATTTATGAAAACCTTTTTCTGCATTTCTTCTAAAAGCTTGAGGATTTTCCTTTTGTATGATGTGTGCATTTAGGTTACTTTGTATGTTGACTTTACAGGTGGATGGTTACAATAGTCTCAACCAGTACATGGAAACAAACAGACTCTCTTCTTTCAGGACGTTGGTTTCCTCTAGAAGGTTGCCTGACAGTGTACTCACAACAAATGCAGAAAACCAGAGAAATGGTTTTCTATTGAACTCTAATATCCAGCCATAAATGCACTTGGTTTACCATAGTCTATGTTTTGGCTCTAATTATTGACTTTTCTCCAAATGCAGTATCAAGTAATTAAAGATTTGTTCTCTTTATAGGTACCCAAATGAATTATGTAATCATGGCATCAAGCTGAAAGACTTGACTATCATATCAGGTTGAAATGAGTCTCCTTGGAAGCTACTTTCTTGGTCAGGAGAACATTTAAACTTAAAAAGGTAAGTTATCTGTTTTCCATATAACTAATGTGCAGTGGTTTTATGGTATAGAACCATCCATAAAGAGGAAGATTTGGAAGCATAGAGCACTAGGCTGTAGTGACTCTGAAATGCAGCTGAACGGAAGCTGCCACATCCCGCTACTTTGGGGTTGGGCAATTGTCTTTGATTTCAGCCACAGTTCTGCTTCTGTGACTCCAGGTTCATTTTTCTCCGTGGTTCTTGGGTCGGCTCGCTGATACTCATTTCTGTTCTATCACACTTCTTGTCCTTTTTGAAGAAATTCCTGAAAGGATTACATTTTCCTTTTGGCTGGCAGTTTGAATAGGACACAGAATTCTTTAATCTAATATGAGATTGAGTTGATCTGAAGTTGATATCTTTGAAGGACCAAAGACCAGTCTTTGGGAGGGCTGATCTACCTCTGTTTCACCATTACTAATAAACTACAGCTCTTCCGTGATCCTATCTGAAAGTGTGAGATATTTTTCATGGCCTCTCAATATACTGGCCATAAACTACAGTTTTTTAATTTCCTTACACCAGGAGACTGCCAAAAGCTTAATCTTCCTCTCAGCCTCTTGGCTTCATACCTAAACATCCACAAATGCCTCTGGGGAAAAATGACAAATATATTCAGCTAACTTTAATGAACACCGTTTCTCTCTTGAATCATGGCCTTTTGACAACTGCCTGCTTTGGTAGCCCTGAACTCTACATTTTGATGTTTCTTCTAGCTTCATGAAACTGCTGAAAATTTTATTGAGGTTTCCATCTGCTTAGCCACCACATTTTGTTCATTTAGTTTTCCTTGGTGGGGAGGGTTTTGAATTAAGGCAATGCATCAAGGTCAAAAGTAGAAATTTCTATTGTGCCTTTTTAGGTGATATTGGTAATGTTATAAAATTCATACTTGCCAAACAACTTACTTATTATAAAAATAAGAGAAAAAAACACACATTAAAACCTTTCATGATAATTTAAGCATACACTTGCATTTCAGCAGCCTGCAATAAATCAAGTGTTATTCACGGAAGTTTTACAAAAAGTTGTATCTCAAATACATGTTAATCTGAAAATTCTGTTTGAAAATATATAATTAAGATTTAGAAAATGAGAATGGCAAACATATGTCCAGATGCTTATTGTTTTCTTGTTTTATAAGAAAATGAGAGTCTTATTAAAAATAACAAGAGCTAAGCTGGAATGAACCTGGGCCACATGCTGAGTGCTGTTCTAAATGCACTATTTAAATGTTCACAATAGCTACATGTCGTTAGTCTCACTTTTCAGATGAACAAAATCAGGCATAGTGAAAATATATTTATTGCTCAAGGTTTACCATGCTGAAGAGTAGCAGTTGAGATTCCAGCTATCTTAATACATCCTCGGATACTGTCAGGCCTTTCAGTTAGTGAAGGTCCAAGCCATTCCAACTACAACTTTTGGGCAAACTGTTTGCTATAATGTAATTACAAGAGTGTATCAGAAAGTATTTACATGGATTTATCAGACAGTCCATTTGTGTGTTGTTTATTAATAAGATGGACTTACTCTTCCTGTAGAACTTCTAGAAATATTTCTAAATAATTCTGCCACTAATGATGTTGACACCATGCATTTAAACATAATTTGGAAAGTTATTATATCTTCAGTGCCTTATAAGTATTGTATCTCCACTGCCTAACATAGTACCTTGAAAATATGAGGCCATCATTAAATATGTATTCCTTGAATATAATATGTATTGAATATTTATATTATGTATTGAATTGTTAAATGATCACTTGGCCTAGAAATTATAAATTTGAAAGAAAAAGTTGAGATTACTGGCCCAACATTCTTTATTTACGAAAGGGTATTTGTGACACAAGGAGTTAATTAGATTAATTTAAATAAATGTAGCTTATGTACTAGTTTTTTATCTTAGATTGTGGGTATTAAGCATGGTTTTATTAAACCTTGATACTAATAATTAGAAAGTACTTCCATTTCTTAATGTACGTATCAACAGAAAAAGTGAGAGAGAGACGATTAGTCAATATTCTGAACTGAGACACATTAAAAGATAATAACATATAAGAATTACTAATTAATGTATTATTTTAACTAACCTCATATGCAACAAGATTATTATTTTAAAAGGCAGACTATTAACTGAATTTGTGCTAGTGCAATGAGAAAAATACTTTAAAAATTAAACTTCAATCTTTCTCTTTTTTGAGATAGAGTCTCACTCTGCTGCTGAGGCTGGGGTTCAGTGGCATGATCTTGGCTCACTGCCACTTTTGCCTCCCAGTTCAAGCAATTCTCCTGCCTCGGCCTCCCAAGTAGCTGGGACTATAGGTGTATGCCACCAGGCCCGGTTAATTTTTGTATTTTTAGTAGAGATGGGGTTTCACCATGTTGGCCAGGCTGGTCTTGAGCTCCTGACCTCAAGTGATCTTCCTGCCTTGGCCTCCCAAAGTGCTGGGATTACAGGCATGAACCACCATGCCCTGCCTAACTCACAATCTTAATTCACACCCTACTGTTTAAGAAATTACAGACTGATTAATCTATAGAAATATATGACCCAAAATAAAGTTAAAATATGTAATGGCAATGTCTTTAATAGTGGATTGGAGAAGGCCTTTCAAAGGAAGCAGCAGAAACAGATTTCTAGGAAAATATTGGTATAAATAACTATATACATATCTAAAATAAAATAGTGCCAAAAATCATTGGCAACATTAAAAAGCAAATGACAAATAAAAAATCATTTGCATTATATGACATTTAACATTTTAATAGCTCTTCATTCACTTTTAAAATCTATAAACCAAAATCAAATTCTCTAACATATATGCCACAGCATAAAAATGATAAATACTCCAGCACTGTCCTATTTTTTTCCCACAACATTGCCATTATGTCTGCAGCACTTCCATTGCTGGATCTTTTAAATTTTTATTTATTTTATTATACTTTAAGTTCTAGGGTACATGTACCCAACATGCAGGTTTGTTACATATGTATACATGTGCCATGTTGGTGTGCTGCACCCATCAACTCGTCATTTACATTAGGTATATCTCCTAATGCTGCCCCTCCCCCCTTCCACCACGCATGACAGGCCCCGATGTGTGATGTTCCCCACCCTGATGTCCCAAGTGTTCTCATTGTTTCAGTTCCTCCTTTATGAGTGCGAAAACATTTGGGTGTGAGTTTTCCTGTCTTGTTACAGATTTGCCTCAGAATGAATGTTTTTTTTCTGCTTCATTCAAGGTCGCCCTAAAAAGGACATGAACTCATCTTTTTTATGCTGGCAAGTATGTCCATGGGTAAGCATAATGTGTCCACATTTTCCAATCACCAGTCTATCATGCACCTGATGGACATTTTAGGTTGGTTCCAAGTCTTGTGCTATTGTGAACTAGTTGCTGCAATAACCATACATGTGCATGTGTCTTTATAGTAGCATGAATTCATAATACCTTTGGGTACATACGCCAAGTAATGGGATCCACAAGGGATCTAAAATGGCATTTCTAAGATGTAAAGAATCGCTTTTTTTCCTTTGAGACGAGAATACCGCCACACCACTGTCTTCCCACAATGGTTGAACTAGTTTCAGTCCCATCAAGAGAGTAAAAAAGCCTTCCTATTACTCCTCTCAATCCTCTTCCAGCATCAGTTGGTTTCCCTATAAAGACTTTTCGTAATGATCGCCGCATTTCTAAAAAACTGGTGTGATATG